CTAAACCGTCGATTAACTGCAATTTTGATCTCCATGTGGGAATGTTCGTCCTGAAGAAGTCATTCAAGATCTTTCAATTAACTTTCTTGAAAAGTGGTTTGTAGGTTTTTCCTGTTCTGTCTGTGAGACTGTAGATAATGCCTTACTTTTGATTTCGGCAAGTATGAGCCTCTTTACGGTCTGCCTTATCCAATAATAATCAAATAATCATAAAATAACAATCAATCCACTCTTCTGGTTACCAAAACATCCAAGAAAGCCAGTTGATCGTGATTGTATAAGTACTTGATTATTGTCTATTGAGATGGTCTAGGAACTTTAAGTTATTAATCTAAGTTGTTACGTTCATGTTTTCATATAACAAAGGTGTCATCGACATACCGAAACCAGATTCTCAATGCTGACTGTTTCAACGTTAATGGCACCTTTGTAAACAGGAATGCAATAATATCCAAACTATCAATAAATAAACTGAAAGGTTGCGGAAGGGTATTTTTAAGATAGATATTTACACTAATCGTAGAAAATCTACCCAAATGACTATGTGCATTTTACTACCCACTACCCAGAATAAGTGTAGAGTAAAACATCCAAGCAGGGACGGATTAAACGATTTTAAACGATAATTAAATTTACGATGCCCGGGACTGAAATGATTAGGGGACCCACCTAAGGACAGCAAAATGTGATTTTTTTATTATTATTCATTGTTCACGGGGCCCTCTCAAGGTTGGGGCGCGGGGTTACAGCTCCTGCTAGGCCCTCGGTTAATACGCCCCTGAATCCAAGCTGGTTGGTGTACATAGTGTGTCATATTTTCTTAGAAACATTACTGTTTTACCTGATTATAATTTTTGCAAAAAAGGTCTTGTTAACTTAGAGGAATGGTGTAAGCGGACACGTCAGCCAGCAAATATTGTTGTCGTCAGCGAAAATACGTTCATTTCCCTCCCACATGAGTGAATCGAAAAATATTATTATCTGTAAAGATAAGCGATTTAAAACAGCAATATATTTCAATTTAGCAGACAGAGAAAAATGCCGCTGACAATTCCTATCATGATTGATTGGGTTTGGTGCATTTGATCTTACCGATAGCTATAGGATCGATTATTTGTACATTTATTAAGTATTTGAAAAACAAATATTGCACAAAACGTGGGTACTTAGAGGCATTTTCTAATTGGGGAAAAAGTGATTTGGTTCGAAGAGGTTCTAAGATTCATTATCTTTGTTAACAAGATATGTATAAGCACGTATTTATTGAATAAATATTCATTGTTCCTGCATTTACGATTGGTAGGAATTAACTGTTTTGCATTCGCCGTAAGTCAAATAATGTTACTGTCTGTTTGGGCTTATTATATAATAAGGAAAATATCATCGGTCAAAGTGGTAAACGCTCAAAATCCGCTAAAAAAGAGCCGAAAATGAAGGTTCCAGCTCATTTCTTCGATGAGATTTTTGCATTTTTTGCTTCCTGGATATGCAGATGTATGTAGAATTTGAACCATTTACCGAGAAATTATTTTTATCATATGAAACATTAGGTTAAAAATCAAATTTTATTCTGCATGATTTTCGAGCACAGTCGATGTTCTCCGACCTAAGAAGTTTCTCAATATACACATAAAAGTTTTTGGGTCTGTAATCAGAAAGCTATTGGCGGATAAATATTATAAACGTTCAAAAACCGCTAAAAATAAGTCGAACATGTCAATTACTTCGGATCTGAAGCTTCCATCGTGTTATTCAATGAGCTTGTTGCATTCCTTGTTTCCAGTTGATGAGGAATTTGGAAGTAGCGAGATGGAATGAGCTTTCTTTCAAATAATTGCTATTCTCATCCCATTATTGTTAGATAAACTGAACGGCGCTTTGGGTCCTTTGAGTCCTTACAAATTTGGAAAAATGAACTGGAAATATAAATTATCCAGCAAACTGTGTCCGCTGCTACTGCGAGAATGGAAGTTATTGCTTTATAGTTAAATGCAATCAGGTTTTTGCTGCAGATAATTTTGTGGAGCTCTAATAAGAAAATGATATTTTTTGGTTCAAAAAAGCTGAGCTGTTTCATAATAATGCCTTAATACAAACAAATTAACATTTATACTCTTCCTTAACCGAATACGACTTGAAATTTGAACAATTAGACTAAGTACCTTCATTTTAATATAAAAATTGCTCACTTCCATCTCATACTTGTTGAAGCCAATAAAAAGTGAAATCTCTATAATATTTCGTGTGAGTAAACAAAACTAAATGAAAAAGTCGAATGCAGAGTTGTAAAACGAAACCGACTAGTTAATTGCCGCTTAAATGGGTGTTAACTTGTAATATTTTTCGAAATGAACACATGTTTAGAAAATGAATCGACTACCTTATGTCTGCTGACATTTTTACGAGTCTGATTTATGGCGGGCACACTGAAACTGTCCGAGACCACACTTTTCGACATGTTTCTCATTTTCTGCATCGTTACTGCTGATTTAAGCGACTGTGTCATCTTAACGAATAGCTTTCACTTTACCTTTGGACTTTTATTTGCATTTTCAAATAAACGTTTTTCATTTCATAACGTGTTTCTATCACAAAGGCATTTAAATACTTTGAACAATTATGTTGACTACTTTTTGCAACGACAAAAGTTTAAGTAGAAAGTGTCTAAGTAGCCAGTCAACAAGAATCGCTTAATCATAAAATTGAAAGAATGAGAATGATAAGATAAGAAGTTTGCATTTGACTGTCTTAAAAGGAGCAAGGACTTTCTGAGAAATTATGACCAAATTCCCATGAAAAAGAACTAAATCGTAAAGTCAGGCTAAGAAAGAATGCACAGGGTTATTGATTGAACTCCACTCCATTTTTACAAATAATTTAAAATTTAGAGAAAAATATGGAATACAAAATTTGTAGATATGACGGTCTAGTATATTTTAAGATAATCACAAATGTTACAGGGTGTCTCAAATTCAAGTGCCAAACCAAATTTACCTTTTTTTAAATGGAATGCGGTACTTTTTGTTGCATATTTACGCGACTCGCAAAATGCTAGGCCTATTCGATATACATGATCTATATTGATTTGCAACTGTTCTTGAATTAATAACCAATATTGATTGAACTTTGACCACACCGTTTTAACATCAAATTTGAAATTTTGAGAAAAATGAAGAAGTTGTAGATATTAACATCTAGTTTATTTTCAGATAATACCAATTGCTACAGGGTGACTCAAATTCAAGTGACGGACCAAGCTCTATTTTTTTAAATAGAATGAACGAATATTTTAATGGTTATTAACTCAAAAACAGTTGAAGATCAACGTAGAACATTTATATCGAATGCGCCTAAAATTTTACGAAAAGCTCGAATAAGCAATAAAAAGTAAGGCGTTCCATAAAAAAAAATTGAGACACCCTGTATCAATTCGTCACCAATCTCAAAATAAACTAGACGTTAATAACTACAACTTTCGCATTTACCATTTTTCTCAAATTTTCAAACTTTTAAAATACTTTTCATTTAAAATATTTTTTTGCTTCCGAACAGTAATGATCAATTAAAAGTTCGAAAATAGCTCTAATTTCGTTTGTTTAATTCCATAGAACATCTAAACAAGATACAAAGTACAAAGAAATCAATCAAATTAATTTACAATTAATTCGCTCAACGACATAAATACAATCAAACTTATTAAGCGGATATTTCGAAGTAACTTCTAAGTTTGAGTAAAAAACTTGAAATCCCCCAAAGCTTTCACCTTCAAACAGTTTTAGCAAAATCCTCAGCAGACTTTCGTTGGTTAATTTCCATTTACTTTAGCGGACTCATCAAGCTCATTTACCTTCTAGAGAATATTCTAATAAAGGCTAATTTATTGATGAGATCTTTTGTTCTTTGGAGCTCTGATGCAGTGAATTGCAACCGAATAAAAAGCGTTTTCAATTCACACTCGATACGATAAATAGTAACAGCTTAATTGTAAAGTAAACTCAATGTTAATGCTTTTGTAAATAAAGCTTAAAGTTACACTAACATAATCAGGCGCTGAGCCTCAAATCCTTTATATCCCTCTGATTTAAATGATGACTAACTAAAGCGGTAAGCGGGAACGTTTGAAATCAATAATGAATCTGGAATCAATAATATAATTTGATCGGTTTAATTATAGATGGACGCTTGGCATGTGTTGTCAATTTATTTCAAATGATTTAACATTTATTACAATTGTGCCATTTAATGTGGCGAGAAGTTAGTTAGAAAGCAACGAAAATCGTCCATTTGAGTGAACAGGAGAGCGTTCAATTTCCATCTTGAATGCAAATATTTTCAATTTTATTTTAAAATTCAAATTTATTTTCGACTAGTTACTGGTGCTCTAAAATGAAGCAACATGACCTTGAGTGCTTCGTGGGTCAAAATATGTTTTTCTTGTATTATGATACTATTAACCTCTTTGGTGTATTTATTAATTTATTCAGCACCTTTGGGATTTATTTTTGTTTTCTTGGCAATATAGGAAAATAAGGATGAGCAAATTCTGTCAATGTTGCAGCAAATTCTACTACAGTTTCGTGAGAGTTTTCTTGCAAATTTTAGTCTTGGGCGGTTTTATGTACAAACTTTGTTCTGACAAAATGCTTTGAACCCTAAAACTAAAAAAATATAGGAACTGTGGATAAAACTAATTAATAAAGCTTGTTTTAAAGTATGTAGTTTCTTATTGAAATAGATTGTCGACTTTAGATTTCCATAAATTGTTTTTCACCAAATACTTTTTTTGTCAAATTTTGTGACTGAGACTGGAAGATTTTAAATCAGATGTCCATTATTATTTCCAAGTGATTTGCAACATTTGTATTGCGTTCGAATGAAAATGGGGTTTTAAAAGTCCTAATTTAATAGAAAAAAGACAAATTGCGTTTTGAACTTGATGCTAAGTATTAGACTAACGAAACCCTGTGAAGACCTAGAGCAACTTTGAACTTTGTCCACAGTATGGGCAGAAACGGGCGATTTTCGAGATGCACATTCAAGTGGATCAATGACTCCGTCCAGTTCTACCCCATCTATGGACCATCCTCAATTACCTTTTCCTGCTGCTGCCAGGAGTCGAACCAGAGATAGAAAAGGTAATGAAAATAATGTTATTAAGAAAAAATCAGTGGCGACAGATCTTGTCCAATTAGTCAATGAGAAATGTGTTCAAATTTAAAAAAAAATTAAACATTCCACTACTGTCTTGAACTACAATATTTGCAGTCTTGCGTGTCATAAAATCGGAACTTCAAGCATTGTGAATTCCTACAATATGTTGTGAGAGTGAGAGAAAGTGTTCTATGTTCCGTCGGAGAGTGAGAGGATGAAGTGAATATGAGACTTTAAAACGCAGCTATTGAAATTTCCTTGTGTGTTGCAAACGAACTTTAATTTTCAAAAGTGTCAATAAACTTATTTGTAAAAAGTGTACCTGCATAATCTTAATTTTTTTTTTAAGAGAGCAACATTTAAACTGGAAGTTATCCTTTATCTAAATGACCAGTAAGTTAAATATGTATGTGTTGTGAAAGAAGAAAGTTTTAAATTTTTGTAATTTCCAATTTGGTTTGTGGGTATTTGGGAATTTTATTTTGCAATTAGTTCTTTTGGACTAATACGTTATTAAAGAAGTTGGGGAAATTGCGTTTATAGTGGAATTTGTAATAAACCTGAAATATTTTGATCACAAAGGAAAACAATGTTCTCTGTAAGTTTTGTTTTATTTTTGGAAACTTTTGTTTGATCGATTTTGACTACTCTAGTTTTTAATACCTTCAGTAAACCCTGAATTTCTTTCTTCTTTTCTTTTCTAATAACTAGGTGAAATTTGTGCATAGAAACCGGATTTTATTAGCCAAATACACCGTAATATTATCAAAGTTTGTAGATCAATTAAGAACTACACATGATCCTATTCAATGTAAATATTTCGCCGCTCTTATCATAAAAAATTCATGGCCGTTATCAGCTTATCTGCACGCATTAGCCGAAGCTATCGCAACAATTATATCCATATTCCAATTTTAACGGACCAATCAAATGTTTGCGATTTGTGGCTCTGGATCAAATTGAAACAATATGACTGGTCCACTGTAGAACAGGTGAAGATGTCGGCAAAAACCAATAGATTTACTGTCAGAGGAAATGATTGATTTGGGCGGTCCTCAGTCAAAAGGTTGCTTATCATTACGAGTGTGTGATATCGACTTTGGCTGGCAAAGGCAAAATCGGAATATCAATTATGGCAAGCAACATTTGTATGCCTACAACCTACATACTCTTTTGCATAGGCTTCACACTGTTCGACCATCCAGTCGCTGTATGCTTTAAGGCAAACTTAAAAAATAAAGTAGCAATTACTACTTCCAAAGATTCCTGATGTTATTAAGTTAATCCAGGCAGCAAAGAGGAGCGCTATTTCGGTGCCGCCTTAAGTAATTAGTCTGACATCCAGGATTAAAATGGTTTAGTCGGACTAAAATTAATTGGGAACTGAAAGTGTTGTTATAGGACGATGTTGCCAGTCAAAAAAAACTGCTTGAGTGAAGTGGAATGTCGATGTATGTTTTCATCTTTTTAAGCGGTTCTGACTGCCTGGAACGATGCAGTTTTGTCTTGAGTAGTGTCCAAACGGCTTGGTATAAAGAAGTTTTAAATCCAGTAATAATTCATGTTCATTCAGAAAATCCCGAATATTTTTGGTTTGCTTTTAAAATAGTTTGCTTTGCAGGAACACAAGAGACAATAAATTGACAAAATCGTCTTGTTTCAGAGCGTTGTTAATTGTCTTTTTAAGAACACAATGTACGAATGCATTCGTTTTTTTATAACTGAAGCAGCATTGATTTTACTATTATTAAGGAAAAAAATCTGGAGTGCGGAAAAGTGAGTCGCGCACTAAAAGTATGCTTACGAACGAATGAAAGAACGCTCTAAAAAGAGTAATGCGATATACTTACTTAGATATAAGTAGGAAAGTCTTTAGCTTATAAACACAGACTATTCAGTAATTTTTGCAAACATTGAGACGCAACCACAAAATCGAATGGAGAAAATCCTCACACATAAAGCGCCTTTTTAGACGAACATGCTTAGGAAGTCCAGACTCAGCCAGAGCCAGAACAACTTCATTAAGATGCGATTTTTTTGGAAAAACGCCATGATCATCCAGCCAAAAATAGTTTGTTTTGTATTTAAAAAAAAAACGATTTTTCCTGTTCTTTGCACATTAGCGAACAAGTAACTGAGAAGAATAAGGTCTAGATGGATAATATTACAAAATTTGGTTAAGCTGCTCATCGACAACTTTATTATACACAACAATGATAAATCGAATGAAGCAATAAAATAGAAACACATTAAACAGAGAAACTACAAACACATTTTTGGCTTCAAGAATCATTGACTGGAAAGTGTGGCGAAAATATGTGCTGTTCAGTTCTTTAACCATACCTGTCTTCGACTAGTGGACTAAATTATTTGGCTAAAAGTTCGACAAAGTTTGCCGCAAATATTGGAAAACCTGCGGTCTTTTCTACTGATCGATTAAAATTCAGAGTTAGCTCCAAACTAGCATGATGAGCCCCAATCAACATTGGTGGAATGAGAAAAGTCGGCCAAAAGTATCAATTTGGGAGTCTGATCCAATTTGTAGTGCTTAGTGCTGCTAAGAAATTGCTAACTTCCGAAATATATTTACAACGACATCTCATATCAAGACATATCAGGCAAGAGAAGCTATCGATAACAGAAGAATGAGCGTTAAAGGAAAAGAAACAACGCAACAAACACGATAGAAAACCAACTCTCGCAATGGAAACGAGGACATGTGACAAGTACAAAGGTAATGAATCTGTAGAAAAATATGAACATTCAAAATCGCCAAGAAAGAATAAACAAAAAAATACACACGGAGGAAAAAACCTGGGAGGATTTATCAAACTACATTCATTCCATGAACTCTTCTTCAAGAACACTTTTGCTGAAAGTAGAATTCTATAAAATTTGTTCTGAAACAGAAAACAGATTGCAAAAGAATATGTGCTATTGGCACATATGAGTATATTTTAAAACAGAAAATCTCCATCAGCAAAGCGAAAAATCGAAGAAAATTTGCAGAAAAAAGGTAGAAGCCCAATCAGTTCCATAATTTCGTAAAATTGTTGCAAATGGAACGTCGGCCAACGTCCAAAAAGTATCCATACATTTTTTTTCAAAACTTGAACAAATTTTGACCTGTTCTCTAAATCTATTAATTGAGGTTGAAGGTACGAAAAGCAACAAGGTTTTTCTATGAAGTAGATGATCTTCTAGCAGAAAAGATTGAGTTTAATATCATCTAAGAAGCAAAAAATTTCGTTAAAGAATGCAACTCAAGTATCTCGTATCAACGCTGGAGCACAACGTCAAAAAAGATCAAGATTGTGAAGAAATATAGAAGATAAAGTGATATAGAAGAAGAATATAGAAGTGAAGTGATATAGAAGAAAACAACGAGATTTGGAGGTAATTTGTTTGAAACCAGCATGAGACAATCTAGAAAAGCAGTGAACATCGTATGATAATTTGCAGAAAGAAAAGGACACTGTACTAAAAACCGATGAAGAAGAATTTTTATTTGGGTTAGAAAGGCTCTAGACTCCACAAAATGTCAAGAAGTAGACACTTTTTACTCCAGGACTTTCTTTAGAGAGTTGAAAAATTTTTTTTCTTAAAAGAGTTTTTCTTTCGACGAGTTTGAAGTTGTAGTAGTGAATTAGTTGTCAAAAAAATTCAGAAAGTTTCCTTAGTAAATACAAGTTGGCGTATATAATTGTTTTGGATCAATTGTTTAATTTCTTCATACATACGTAATTGAAAGGATTTTTAAAACTCAACTGGTGAACTATCAAATCCTAAATTCTCAGTTTATACAATCGCATTTTAATTCTCCACAAAACATTTCTAGGTACGTTTTAATAAGTTAACAAACCACGCTTTGTTAGTTAAAAAAATGTGGAATATTTTCCATGAATCCCTCATTTTCCATTTGCCGCTTTTGCCCGATCCTTAATTCCATGATTGACGTCAGTTCCACATAAAATGTCCGCATTATATCTACGGATTGGAATTGAAAAGTGCAGTTCGAAGCAAGACTAGTAGTAATCCGACGGCGTTCGCCTAAATAAACTTAAAAATTGAGTGCTGAGCTTTTTAAAACAGAGGGAGAAAAATATCCGCGCTGTAATATAGCCGTCTAAAGCTTTGCTTGTTTGAGAAACTGATTAAAAATTCAGCCGCTAAGCCTCGGAAAGTGCCGGTAAAGCTGATCGGAAGATTTTGCAATTATTTTTCCGTCTTTTCTGAACGAAATTGCACGTATCGTGTATTTTTTCTGTTCCTGTTTGGACGATTTGCTATTACCCGGGATTCATCATTTCTACATCCACACTTTAAATAGAAAAACATTTTATTCATTCACAACTTCAATCAAAAATCATCAACAAGTTGGATCTTTACAATGATGAGGCAATCAAGTCTGCAAACCATAATCTCTCTCTTTATTGATGTCAATTGTTAAACCATGAATTGTGACTGTAGAACTACTGTTGTTTTAGGAATCAGAAATTTATGTATGTAAAGATAAGCAACTTTTCAAATGACTTTTCTCTTAGGGACGTTCTTTAAAGATCCATTGCAAAAAATCGTTCTTATTGTCGAATTAAGTTCTTTAATTTTGACTTATAGGTATCCAAAATCTAGAGACTTGCATACTTTGACCCTCTAAAATTGCTTCTTCTCAACCCATTTAATACAGGTTTTTGTTCTATTGAACATCTGTCTAAAAAAGTTCTCTTAAAGCTGAGCCACTTATTCCACATAAGAAAACTCGATATACAGCGTGTCCCACCGGGAATCGCTGCGATCGATATCTGACAAACTTTAATTAGGAGAAATTTGAAAATTGGACAGTTTGCCAAGGTCATTGAGGGCAAGCGGTGTCCAATATTTAAAAAATGGCCACACTTGCGGTTATACCGGAAGTAGGTATCAACTTGCTTATTTTAAATAGAACAACCTATATATTATTAAATTTTTGAATTCTACTCCAAATTCTAAATATATTTCATATACAACATCCTGTAGCCAAGGCTAACCGTTTTTGATATATTTGGAATTTTATGTAAAAAATTACAGTTGCAGCCACTCGAATAATTATTCATTTTTCCGATAAGGAAATTTAATAATAATAGTATGTTTGTGTACTGATGTCTTTTCCAAAAGTGTTTAGTTTTCGAAATATTGCCAATTTAATGTTTTCAGATGGCTATTTTGCAGCCTTCTATCCTGTCACTCTTAGTTGCCATGACGAAAGTGGCCATTTAATTTAATTTTAATTTAATACAATAAAATGCCAAAGGAATGCTGACAGCTGTCAGTTACCTTTCGAAAATAATTAATAATCATGCCAGGGCGCTTCAATTATACAAACGAAGGTTATTTAAACTTATTTATTATTTATGAAGAATGTGATAAAGCATATTCTTATCATGTTCTTGTTATAACTTCATCACATTCCCCATAAATAATAAATAAGATTAAATAATCTTCATTTCCATAATTTAAGCGCCCGGGCATGATTATTTATTATTTTCGAAAGGTAACTGACAGCTGTCAGCATTCCTTTAGCATTTTATTGTATTAAAAATTGCCACTTTCGTCATGGCAATTAGGAGTGACAGGATTTAAAAGGAGATGCTGGAATATTTCGAAAACTAAACACTTTTGGAATAAACACCGTTAAACAAACTTACTCTTATTTTTAATACTGAGTTTGGCAAAATTATTAAAAATGAAGGTTTTCATTTGGAAAAATTGATTTTGGGCGGGTTTCTCAACTGTATTTTGAAACTTATTTTTTTAACACTTTGTATTAATTGTTTTCGAAATTCAATTAAAGTACGTCCTTTTCATCAATAGAAACGACTCAAATTAAGTATGACAAATTCCCTTATAGGAAAAATGAATAATTATTCTAGTGGCTGCAACTGTCATTTTTTACATAAAATTTCAAATATCTCAAAAACGGTTAGACTTAGTTATAGGATATTATACATAAAATACATTTAGAATTTGGAGTAGAGTTCAAAAATGTAATAATATATAGGGTGTTCCATTTAAAATAAGCAAGTTGATACGCACTTCCGGTATAACCTTGAAATATTATAAATATTATAGGCTTGAAATATAATAAAGATAATCTTGAAAATATTTTAGGCGGTGTGCCGCCAATGACCTCTGCACACTGCCCAATTTTGAAATTTCTGCTAACTACAGTTTGCCAGATATCGATCGCGGTGGTTCCCGGTGGGATACCCTTGTATTTCGATATAAGCAAAGAAGAAAGTAGAAAAATAAACAACATTTTTTTGTGAGAAACCCGACATTGGAAACTCTTCTCAAGTGGACACATTTCTAAATAGAACCAGTTTGACTGGCGAAAATTTACGTTCATTTGACAATCACGTGTAGACTCGTGCTATTTAGAAAATTGGATAACTTTTCCTACAGCAAACGGTACGTGCCAAGGCTAATAATGATTCTAAAAAGACAATAATGGCGTAATTAAAGTAAAATTCCGATTTATTTGGCAATTAGCAGTAACACTAAGAGCGCATTCACGGATCACAAATTTGATATGTTACTGGCCATTAGATCCTAAAATACCCAATAGAACTCATATTTATATGGGCGCGAATGAACAGTGTGAAAAACAACCGCATAAATTTTCGTCTCGAGCAGATCAGTAACCCATCCAATAAAATAAATTTCCATTTTATGACAGTGCCAGTTCAAGATATGCCATTGCTCGTAAAACAGCAGCCTTCGCCTTTGTAAAACAAACACTAGCCACATCCTTAACATCATTCAACATTTATTTTAACCGCAAAGCCATCTTATAAACATAGATTATTTCGGATATCATTGGCTTAGCCAGCGAACTTATTTCGGAATTTATTCCACTCTCTAACTTGACATGTCAGGCAGCGTTTTGAGTAGGAAATGCTTTCAGCATTTTACAGTCATTTGTTGCATTTGCTTTATAATGCTGTTGAAACTAGTGTGTTATTTTATTTGTTTATTGTTCTTTTCAGCTAGTCGATCGTTGCAAGATTCAATCAAAACGGAAGCTGGTGTGGAACAGACGGAAACTGAAGATGGCAAGAACGATAAAAAGACGAAACGCCAACGGAGGCAGCGGACGCATTTCACCAGTCAGCAATTGCAAGAACTCGAGGCCACTTTTGCCCGGAACAGATACCCTGACATGAGCACAAGGGAAGAAATCGCTATGTGGACGAACTTAACTGAAGCAAGAGTGCGGGTGAGTTACCAGTTGCTTCAATTAAGATCAAAACAATGTATTTGCATGTTTTTGCATTCGGATCGACATTGGAAAACGGAAAGTCATAAAGAGGCGATTTAAACATATTCGTCACTCGCGCTACAAGAGCCTGAGCTAAAGCATAAGCGGGACATGGCATATCCACTGATTCCTATATTGACAATTTATGCGTCTTTACTTTTGGCTAGCTTCTAGATGTTTCTTTATCAACTTTTGTCGGTTTTCATCATGACCTCTATTGGTCAAGCGAACCAAATTTGGGAAAACGATTGATTCAGTTGATTCAGTTTGGGATATACTCGTGCTTTTTCCGGAAACGCAACAAAACCCGTTATTCAGGAGAGTTTCCTGCTCGATTGGGGAAGTTGAGATCATTTTGACTCACTTGGGCTTCTAACCAATCATTCACTTTGGCATCCAGTGCCTTTGTGTTGCAAAGAACATGGTGCCGTTGGCAATTTACATTGTTTCCGACATTATTGATTAGGATGCACATTTTGCTCCCATAAGCCCACTTAATCATTGTGTACAATAATGAGATAAATGCAGTCGGCCGTATTTCACCGGGCAAGCGGTGGCAGGTAAAGCAGACAGCGTCACTCTAATCCCGCCATATTAACACCATAAATCTGCCGCGGATTAGAGCGATCACCATCGCGGATGACCGTGTCTCTGCTGTCGCATCCAGCAGCCATGTGGGTGCATATTGGATCGAAATACTACGTATAATAGGCGGTCCTGTTTGTGCACTTGGCAATCTGGACGTGTTCATTACCTGCCTTTTTGATTTATGCATCCAGTGTGTTTGGGCGTGCCTCTAAACGGGAAATGTTCCTGCTACCTGCAAAACGTTTCTACAAACTTACTTTGACACAAATCTCTTGTGGTTCATGTCGAGCCTCGAAAGTGTGTTAAGTCGTTACCACCGAAATAAAGATTTCTCTATTCTATAGACCTCATTTCGGCGGTAACGGTTAAGTACTCCATGGGAGTGTGTGTCATTAACTTTTATTTTTTTACAAACTTCTTTTTGGGTATTTCGCCTCAAAAATTTTTGTCTTTAAAAAAGACAGAATTTCCTCACGTCTTTTATTACAGATT